GGAATTGATCAAGACAGTTTGGATGGGTACTGTTATTGTTTTGATGGTTTTATTAAGGTAGTATTCGCTTTGCTCGGCGCATGTCTGGTACTCGACGTAATCCCATTTTTCGTTAAGTAAAAATTATTGGAAGGGTGGTTGGTGAATAGAGATCTGATGTTCTTTTAGTCACGAGAAAGGGACCAAGAGGAGATATGAGTGACCCATGAAAATCTGAAGATACGAGCGAATGTTCTTCGTCTTCGTCTTTGTCTCCTTTAAGATTTGGACGTGAGTTACGCACTATGCACATGCGCTGAGCTTCAGAACAGACCTTTTGTTCCAATGTTCCTACTCAACGCTAAAGCAAGAGGTGATTTGTGTGACATTATACGAATGAAACCTAAGTAATATTTCTGTGCAGGGATTACGATGCTTTCCTTGGTGATCTGGAGGAAGACAAGACCTACAGACAGCATGTTAACATATATGTCGGTGAGTGATTACCACCGAATTTATCCTTGTAATACTTTGTATGTAGCGTTGTACTACGCTTGTGGCCATATATGCTTGTTTACATATATTCCTGTTGGTTGTGAAGTTCAGCTGAATTCTGATTGGACGTTGCGATTACTTTGGAATCCATTTGTGCTCTAATTTTCACACATAGTTTCCCGGATAGAGCATATGTTATCCAAGTAGATGCCCCTTGTTTTTGATCACGTGATGTGGGTGCCTCAGTTGCGTGCGAGTGAATTCTCAGATCAGAATGAACACCAAAGCTGGTCAGATAACTAAGTTAAACAAAATTACTTTCAGATCGTGATTACAAAGGCGCTTCAGAAGATGACGACGATGAGGCTCCACGGATTAGTCTCCAGGAAATGTTAGAGGACCTGCACCTCGAGGAACCCGATCTGGGGGACCACGGGGCGGAAACGTGCGCCATGATGACAGGGTGATGTACCTCGTTTTATATTCAACGGGAAAATCAAAAGAATACACTTTCTACAAAGAGACGACTTTCGAAATAACTTCAATGAAAATGTACTGAATAAACTAGTTGTCACACGCATTTTTAAGCTTACGGGTTCAGTTGATTCCTTGTGTGTTTAAACTATTTTTGGGAGTTTTGTTCCTACGTGACTTAAGCTCTATTTTATTCTGTCCTTGATTTTCCTTTGCACAGTCTATAATATCAGAGATGCTTTTCTCATGGCGAGGTTCATTGTGCCGGGTATTAGGTGCTTCATTCTGAGGTCAAACGATGCTATTAAATGCGAAACCGCTGTCCAGTCAGTAATTAATTGTTGACTCTAGTACCCATGCCACCTGGGAAATGCAAAAAAGAAACCGTGTTCCTGTGGACACATCTGCTATA